AAAAAAAAAAAAAAAAAAAAAAAAAAAAAAAAAAAAAAAAAAAAAAAAAAACATGCATATCATTAACACTGGAGCGAGCTGTAACAGAAAGAAACGGGATTCGGTTCATCTTCATCAGTTACAAAACCCAAAAAGCAGATATTTCCTTTCATCCTCACTCCTCTTCGAAGCCCTTTTGACCTGATTACCGACACTCCCCTTACGCGCCTCTTCCCTGCCTCAATTCAACCCCGTTTCCTTCGATCCAATGCCAATGGTGAACAAAATGCTTTGATTCTGCTACCCTCAAACGAATAAACGCTCCTTTCCTACTCCCGATTCTTCATTTCCCCTCCAATCTTATCCTTTGCTTCAAACAGATCGCCAATTCCTCTTTTGGGAAACTGAATTAATCGCCTCTTTCTCTTCGTTTTCTCTGCGATTTAATGGAGAAAAGGGCGTATTCATAAGAGGGTTCTTTCTTTTTCCTTCTGTTCATCTTTCCCTCTTCGATTTCTTCTGACTTTTGGGGATTTGGGTCTGTTCGAGAACGGATTTTAGATGGGTTTGCTTAGTAGTATACTGGGTTTCTTCGGATTTGGCTTGGGAACTTCGATTGGGATTGTGATTGGATATTACATGTTCATCTATTTTCAGCCGTCGGATGTCAAGGTTTGTTTCTTGTTCCACTTTTTTTGGTGTTTGGTCTGTCTGTTTCTCGAAAATGTTCTGTTTCTTCTACGGATCATCACAGTCTCTGTCTGCTCTGTGTTGGATTATTGATCTAATTGCTTGAATCGACAGTGTTTTCTGAAAATGCTGAGTGGTAATTCCCAGCTCGTTTGGGGTTTTTCCTGTTAGTCACTTTAGTTCCCTCAATTTCACAAGTTTTGGGGGTTTTGCTTGCTTGTACTGATGAAGACACGACAGACCTAAGTACTGCTGTCCCCTATTTTCGTGGGGTTTTTTTTGATGTCTCCTAGGATTTCATTTAGATGTCACCCCATTTTCCCCTTAACTTAGAGGAAGACATTAACAGTATTTGCCTATGAATTGCTACCAATCAAGCTTCCTTTTGGTTCTGTTTCTTTTTCTTAGGCAAATGGAGGCTTAGTAGTTGTAATATATGCTCTGATCTGAATGAGTATGTGGCCTTGTTTATGAATGCATTCAGGGACTAACTGTTGGGAGATTCGTTTCGAGTATTAACCAGTCGAGTTCTTCCCGTTCTTTGTTGTCGATTGGCTCGTGTTGATTTGTGTTGAAATTTATTGTTTCAGGATCCTGTTATTCGCCCTTTGGTTGAGCAAGATACGAGCTCGTTGTTGCGGATGATGCCGGAAATACCTCTGTGGGTGAAAAATCCTGATTACGATCGTGTATGTTACCGTTACCGTTTCGTGTTGTTAGGATGTGATTGCTTGTGATTCATTGTTTAGTAACAGTTTTCATTGTACCTTTCTTGTCTCTTGTAGATTGATTGGCTCAACAAATTCCTTGAACTTATGTGGCCTTACTTGGACAAGGTCTGTGCTTTGCTATTGAAAATTGATACTCTTTTGCTGAGGTGTTTGGGCGATGATACCTTTTATTGCTGTCTTTCTTAGGCCATTTGTAAGACAGTGAAGAACATAGCAAAGCCTATTATTGCTGAGCAAATTCCAAAATACAAAATCGAGGCTGTTGAATTCGACACGCTTACATTGGGCTGCTTACCACCCACTCTTCAAGGTACACTCCTCCCTGTAACGGCCCTTGCCCACCGCTATCAGATATTATCCTTTTTGGGCTTTCCCTTTCAGGTTTTCCTCAAGGAAAATGCGTTTGTTAGGAAAAGGTTTCCACACCCTTATAAAGGAACGAGTGCCAGCGAGGACGCTGGGCCCTAAAGGCTGGTGGATTCTGAGATCCCACATCTTTTGGGGAGGAGAACGAAGCATTCTTTATAAAGGTGTGGAAACCTCTCCCTAGCAGACACGTTTTAAAAACAAACCCGAAAGGAAAAGACCAAAATGGACAATATCTGCTTTGCCCCCTGATCAAATGGTTGTTCATGAGTTACCCTTCATTACTCCGTTTTTGGGAGCTAGACGAAGAATCTCACTCTTTGATGAATTTACAAACTAGGAATGAAAGTTTATACGACTGATGATAAAGAGTTGATCATGGAGCCATGCATGAAGTGGGCGGGAAATCCGAATGTTACCGTTTCAGTTAAAGCATTCGGATTGAAAGCGACTGTTCAGGTTGTGCACGACTATATGCACTAATATTGATTTCGATATGCATACTATGAATATGTATCAATACAACGAGCAAGTGTAGAAATATCTGACTTTCTCTTGCCTTTCAGGTGGTCGATTTGCAAGTGTTCGCTATTCCGCGTATAACCCTGAAGCCTTTGGTCCCGACATTTCCATGCTTCGCCAAAATATTTGTCTCTCTAATGGAGAAGGTGCTGTAACTGGTTAACTCATATATACTTAAATAAATTTCGAGTCATATTTTAAATTTTGTCGATTCTGCAGCCCCATGTCGATTTTGGGCTGAAATTGCTCGGTGCAGATGCGATGGCCATCCCGGGGCTGTATAGGTTTGTTCAGGTACGAATTATTCTATATCATGTTATCTTTACCGGCATTGTCAACATAGATAACGAACTCGTGAAATTTCTTCCCCGTCATCACAGGAACTCATAAAAGATCAAGTTGCCAATATGTATCTATGGCCGAAGACCCTCGAAGTACCGATAATGGATCCTGCAAAGTGAGTTCTGTTCGTGTCGTTTTATATTATGATTATGTTGAAGCGTTTCGTTTCTTGATTCGGGTAATCTTTGTCAGAGCCATGAAGAAACCTGTTGGCATCCTTCATGTGAAGGTTTTGAAAGCAATGAAGCTGAAAAAGAAAGATCTATTTGGGGCTTCTGATCCATATCTGAAACTGAAGCTCACTGAAGACAAGCTTCCTTCTAAGAAAACGACTGTGAAACACACGAATTTGAACCCGGTTTGGAACGAGGAGTTTACTTTTGTCGTGAAAGATCCCGAGTCTCAAGCTTTGGAACTGATTCTTTACGATTGGGAGCAGGTATTTTCGTAATAATCTCATCGAGGAACGTTTAGAATCTTTGTTACAGAGGTTGGTTGTCTTGTTTTGTTCTTAGGTTGGGAAGCATGATAAGATGGGAATGAATGTTGTTCCACTGAAAGAACTTACACCCGAGGAGTCCAAGGAATTGACTCTTGAAGTGTTGAAAAATATGGATCCTAACGATACACAAAACGAGAAGTCGAGAGGGCAGCTTGTCGTGGAATTGTTGTACAAACCTTTCAAGGACGACGAAGCTCCGAAAGATGATGGTGATGATGCAGCGGCAGTACAAAAGGCTCCCGATGGAACGCCCGATGGCGGAGGCCTGCTTGTTGTCATAATCCATCAAGCTGAAGATGTGGAAGGGAAGCATCATACGAACCCCTACGTTCGTTTACTTTTCAGAGGAGAGGAGAAACGAACTAAGGTAACGTTTTAGTATAACGTGCAAAAATGAACTCTCGCGATCACGGATTATATGCTTCGGGTTCGTTAACTTTGAACTCCATTTGGCATGTATGCAATGCAGCATGTTAAGAAGAACCGGGATCCAAGATGGGACGAGGAGTTCCAGTTTACGCTCGAGGAGCCACCGGTGAACGATCGGATTCATGTGGAAGTACTGAGTGCATCTTCAAGGATAGGCCTGCTTCACCCCAAGGTATGTATAATATTTTAAGCTTGGGATCGGGATCGTATGAAGCTCGGGATCATATTCTGAAATTTGAAACGTAATATGAACAGGAAACTTTGGGGTATGTGGACATAAACTTAGCTGATGTCGTCTCAAACAAGAGGATTAATGCGAAATATCATCTGATCGACTCGAAGAACGGGAGGATCCAAATCGAGCTACAATGGAGAACTTCATCATAGGCAGGCAGCTAGTAGCAGCCACTCTTTTCATTGTATTTCTTTTTTGCTTGAAAACCTTTCTCCATGTAGGCTAAATTGAAGTAGGTGATTTTTGTTTTAATGAAATGTTGATATGGTTTGGTTTATTTTCATTTGGTCCAAAAACAAAGATTGAATAATGTCAATGCTTTCATTTTGGTTTAAATCATTCCCTTGCAGCAATTGATGTTTGTTCGTACGAAATTCAAGAGAGGTGGGAGTGGGCATTCACTGAATGGGCTATTATTATTGGATAAAGCAGAAGAGAGACCTACGGATGATTAAGCCTAAAAAAACATGCTTTCAAAATTTGTTCATATCAAACAACAGGAGAGGAAGAAGAGAACCAAAGTTGTTTCCAAAACCCCCTTATAAACCAACTTCTCTTTCATTCCATGAGCTTTTATCGAAACGCAAAAACCCGATGATGGTAGGAGGAGGAGGAATTAGCAGAGCTCTATGCTGGCGGTGACTGGTGATGGATGATATCCAGATATAAAAACCACCTCTCCCTTCCTGTTAAATAATCTACTACAGCTCATCCTTTACGCCCTCATCGGCTGTTTCCGATTTGATAGTATCTTCAGCTTCTGCAGCCTTCGATCCAGTCTCGACGACTTCTGCATCATCTTCCTCTTCAATGGTTGCGTCGGGACTGATGTTTAAGCTAGTCTTCACCGTGTCATAGATTTGGGAGGCAAAATCCTTGGGATCACTGAGAATAAACCCGCTTTCCAGAAGAGCTGTCTGGTACATCAGTTTTGCAGCATGCTTTGCGCCCTCGTCCTGTTGTTTTAGATGCAGCAAATCAACCACATTAGAGAATGTGATAAAAGAACAGTGTTAAAAGCATAAATAAACATGTTAGAACAGATTGTCATAACATAACATACCTCCGAATCCTTGACTATTCTCTCCCGAAGATCCTTGATGATCGGGTGCCTTGGGTTGATCTCGAGCACCCTCTTACCGCGCATATATGCTTGTTTGCTAGCATCTGATAGGGTCTGAGACTGCATGATCCTTTCCATATTAGCGCTCCATCCATACTTGGATGTCACAACCACACAAGGTGTGTTATCCAAACGATTCGAAACTTTGACATCGTCAACGTTGTCGAAAGAAAGGGCGGTCTTCCACCATTTAGTAAGATCCTTGAAGGACTCCTTGAGTTCTTTATCCTTCGAGTCTTTGCCTAGTTTGAGACCCTCCTTCGATACATTTTGGAATTTTTTGTCTTCGTAGTCCATGAGATATTGCATTAAGTACTCATCAACCGGATCCGTGAAAAAGATAACCTGTTAAGAGAAGAAAATATTTTAGATATGAGAGGAAATGGATGAATGGATGGCAAAAAGAAAAAGAAAAAAAGAAAAAAAAAAACTCCCAATTAAAATTCACCTCATAGTTCTTCTTCTTAAGACGCTCAAGGAATGGGGATTTCTCCAACTGTTCCTTGCTTGAGCCAGTAATGTAAAAGATATCCTTTTGTCCTGATTTCATTCTTGAAATATACTGATCCAGTGAAATCAATTTGCCATCCGACTTGGAGCTGCAAGAGAGTTCGTTTAAGGTAATGATCTCAGGGAGACAGAGAAGCATCAATGAGGCAGAATAAAGCAACCCAGAAACGAAACTGAAATGGAAACAAAGGCAAGATACCTCTCGAATCGGAGCAGTTTTGCTAGACGGTTTCTGTTAGTCGCGTCCTCAATAATACCAAGTTTAATTGATTTGCCAAACTCATTCCAGAATCGACTGTACTGGCCTTTCTTCTCATCATCATCACTACTCTTCTCTGCAGCTGCTTGTTAATGAAGGTTTAAAGTTAATCAAATGAAACATGGAAGAAAATTATCACGTCTTAACAGCATCACAATAATCAAGTTCTTTAGGTAAACCTTTCTTCTCCTTGTCACTGAACTCATCAGGATCCTCTTCAGCAATTTTACGGATCATATCAAGGGCCTTGCGAATGAGTTTCTTCTTAATTGTCTTCAGGCTGCTGTGTTGTTGGAGCATTTCTCGTGAAACGTTGAGGGGTAAAGTATCAGAATCAACAAGACCCTGCAGATAGAAAATGTTGAGAAAATAATCGACGATTCAAGTCAAACGTCGTTCTGTTGAATAACCCGACCACTCATTTACCAGCAAAAAGTTCAAATATTTCGGCAGGAGCTCATCAAACTCGTCTGAGATGAAAACCCTTCGAACATACAGCTTCAAGTTGGATTTTTTGCTGTTATAGTAGCTCTCGTAGAGATCATGAGGAGCCTTAGGAGGCACAAACAGAACAGCTTTGAACTCAACATCACCTTCTGCATTGAAGTGACTCCATGACATAGGCTTGTCATCACTAAAATCCTGCCATTTAACGTTAACTTCATTAGATTTGGAATCCAAATTTTACAGATTAAGGTGCTTCAATATTTTTTCACTGCTAGAATTTTGGACAACGACCTTAGCAAGAGAGTGGTAGAATTTAGTATACTCTTCCTCTGTCACTTCTTTGGGACTCCGCAGCCATATGGCTTTCACATCATTCAAAAGCTCCCATTCATAAATTGTTTCTTTGACTTTCTTTGTCTTTGACTTCTCAGCATCATCATCTTCACTCTTTTCTGCATCATCTTCCTCTTCTTCCGAAGAGCTTTCAGCTGTTTTTCAAGACAGAAAAGGTAATCAGACTTACACCATGACAAAGTGACAGTTTTTTTGCTGTAGTTATATATGCATATCCGACATCCAAGACAATAATACATACGCGGTGCTTCTTCATCATTGGATTCATCCTCATCTGCAGGAACGTCCACGTCAATCTCTTTGCTTCCCCAGATATAAATGGGGAAGTTGATAAATTCTGAATATCTCTTCACCAAATCCTATACAGAAAGAATTACCACAACCCATTTTAGTTTAAGAAGTCAGAGAATAATGTCGAAGAAACTAACAAATAAAAATATGCGTTTTAGATAAATTTTCATTTAACCAATGAACAGATTATCAATCAAGTTCATTAAAATTCAACAATGGACAAGAGGGTTGCTGTCATATGGCGCCGTATAGCTTTTGTGAGATACAGAACGAAAAAGAAATGGCCGGTTGCAAGAAGGAAAGGAAAAACCGGAAAGTAAGAATAAATTCAGTGTTCGGGAATTAGGCTCAAGATAACTGCTTGGTGATAACAGTCCCTTCGTGTCCAATTTGAGGATCAAATCATTAACAAACATTAAAAACAGGTAACAAGAAAAGCAAACTAAACTTACTTTCAGTTTGCCCTCCTCCAGGTATTCTTGAGCTTCATCTCTAAGGTGCAATCTAATTTCAGTTCCGCGGCCTAAAGGTTCATTCCAAGTATCTTCAGAGATGGCGAATGCTCCATCAGCCTTGGACTCCCACACATGTCTAGAAACAAGGAAAAGTTAAGCATACAATAACTAATACCAAGACAGTGGCAAACACATCCAAATCATAATGAGAGTTGCTCACTGTTTGTCATCGTTGTGTTTACTGATCACTTCGACGTAGTCAGCCACAAGATACACGGAGTAGAAACCTACTCCAAATTGGCCAATAAGATTGAGATCACCGCTTGTCTGCATTTTTTCCACAAATGCTGCACAGGAAGATAGCAAATTCAGTACCTCACATTACGCCTACCGACCTAAAATAAATAAAATTAACTTCAATGATGGAAGTACCTGAAGTTCCAGATTTCGCTATGGTTCCCAAGTTCTTAATCAAATCCTCTTTCGTCATACCAATACCTCTGTCGCGAATCGAAAGGACTTTGTTTGCCTTGTCCAACTTAATCTGCGATATTTGATATATGGACAACAACGTAAGTATGCAAGGGCCATCGACTAGAACGAGCAATTTTCTTGCTCAGCGAGGTAATAAGAAAACAATGTGTCCAAATCTAGCATGATGGATAAACTCACTTGAATCTCCAGCTTCGAGTTGTCGCCTTCACCCAAGATCTCTTTATCGGTCAGGGAAAGGAACCTAATCTTATCCAACGCCTGAAATGCAGAGATACTATCAGTAATAACCGATCTCTAATTACGAGATTACAAGATCTGATAAAGTAAGACGAGGCGGAGTGGACTTACATCAGAAGCGTTGGAGATCAATTCTCGGAGGAAAATGTCTTTGTTACTATACAAGGAATTGATAATAATGTCCATGAGACGAGACACCTCAGCTTGGAACTCAAATTTCTCCGCGCTGCCTCGAAGAGATCTCTTCGAGATGGACTCCGACTCCCTGAAACCACAATTCGAGAGAACATACGTTAGAAATTTCCCCTAACTGGACAAATCTGTCGGTGAAAGCGTGTATCTACGAGATTAGACATTCACGAACCTCTTGACGACATCAGAATCAGTGGAGAGTCCATGCGGAACGGCGCCGATCTTTTCCTCGACCTTTGGTGGATCTACAACCTCGTCAGCATCACCGTCGGCCTTGGCATGAAATCTAGAACCTAAACGCGAGAGAAAAACACATACATCAATATCACCATAAAATCTTCACAGTTCAAAGAGAGCTCAAATATCATCCAAATTTCTACCCAAACCCCCCAAAAAAAACATGAACCATCGTGATTAACATAATGCAATATCCATTCAGTCCACATTTCAACAAAGAAATCAAAATGGATGAAAGAAGAACCCAAATCACACCTTCATCAGGTACGAGGGAGAGAAAGCAAAGAAGGAGAAGAGCAGAAACGATCGTCCACTTCCTCATGGTTCTTGCAAACCTTCCAGTAGCTTCGACTACTAATCTGATTTCTCAACTGGCTCGCAACATTTATATAGGTCTATTGGATTGATCTATACTGCCAGCGTGGAGGATCCAACGGTAGCGCTTTCTGCTAGTAAACGTGGCGAAATGTTATTGGATAATATTCCATTGCTCGACGTGGATAAAGCCATTCCAAATTTCCATCTCTTGCCCCTACTCAAGACTTGGGAGTGGAAGTCTACTTGATGATCCTAACGGGCTATGGCATCCGATGTGGAGAATCTGACGGTAATGATTGCTTTGTTTCCACGTGGCTACAAGTTATTGGGTTGATATTTTGGTTTAGACGCGGAAACACTGTGTGTTTCCCGGAGGATACGTTTGGAATTTGTCATACTTTTAATCGATTCGCTGATT